TAGCACAAGACACATGAGCACAGGACTGGAGATGGTGGGTGGGTGAACTCAGACTTTGAGCTGCAAGAGAAGCAGCAGTCAAGCTACACAAAGTATACAAAGGATGGTGCCAAGGGCTGGGAGAGCAATCCCCTAGTTGGTATGAAGAGCTGAGGCTGGCCAGAGCAGACGGGTAGGAAGTCCAATGACACTGTAGTAGTAGCCGTTCCAGCAGGGCCTGGCAGCCACAGGCTGACCCCCACGTAGACACTGAACAGCAAGTTAGCCGGGCTGGCACTTTGGAAGACATGGAGACAGAAGGCAGAGACATTCAAGCGTGAGAATGAATATACTGCTTAGTGCTACACTCAGGCATCCAGATCAGGCTGGTGGATGCAGACGGAAAGGGTCAAGGCCCTGGGGATTACAATGAGAATTAAAAGCAAACTCTATGCAAGTAAGATGTAAATGACATCCTTGGATAAAAGGATTTTTTACATTTTAAGAAACTATAAGTAATCCACTTCAAGTGACCATTGATTCATTCATTCACTCTACATGTGCACATACTGAAGGCCATGGCATGCCCCTGGAACCATGCTGGGAACAAAAGACAGTGTGTTCTGGGAGACAGCTCTAGGTAGGTAGTGCCTCTGGAGGAAGACAGAGATGGGCAAGCAAGGACCTCAGAAGAATATCAAGCTGTCGTCTAAAAGGGGGCGTCAGCTGTAACTAGTACACTTCCATTTACCTCTGCAAGGATTAAAGAATGAGTTGCTTAGCCTTGCCTACAGAGCTAGTTCAAGGTCAGCCTAGACTATAGGAGACTCTCAAAAACTTAAAAACAAACATAAACAACCTACTTGAGATCTACAGAAGGCACAAACAGGAGATAAACTAAACTTGAGTACAATTTAGATGCTATGGATCAGCAAACAGACTATTATTCATAAATATAAAAATTTAAGCTTTACAAAAGGGCCATACAAAGTTACAGTGAGATACCCCACTGTCCACAGAGTAACAGTGAGATACGGCACTGTCCATAAAGGAACAGTTAGATATTCCACTGTACAACAGGAATGGGCAAGCACCAGGAATATAATAAGCAAACTGGCAGAACCAGGAAGAAAAGCATACACCAAGCAGTGCATTTATCGGGATACTAGAAGTAGGCGTTTTAAAAATTAATAAGCACACAGAAAAAAACTAGAAACATTGTTTTAACCTATGCTTTTTAAGGGAAGGAAAGAAGCTATTAAATTAAAATGAAGTAGCAACAGTATCTTCCCTTATAAGTCCTTATTTCCCCAAAGCCTTTTCATACCACCCTCCTTTCAGTTTTTCAAGACAGGGTTCTCTGTGAACTGCCCTGGCTGTCCTGGAACTCACTCTGTAGACCAGGCTGGCCTCAGACTCAGAGATCCACCTGCCTCGGCATATGGAGTGCTGGAATTAAAGGTGTGTACCACCACCACCTGGCTCACTTTACTTTTATTCTGAACAAGCCTGGGGCTTGAACCCAAAGCCTGTGTGTGCTAGGTGAGTACCTTACAACTGAGCTGTATCATCAACCTCATAATTTTAAAAAATAGTAACTTTCTTATTACATTTATTTTATTCACTCACTCACTCACTCTGTCTCGCTCTCTCTCTCTGTGTGTGTGTGTGTGGGTGGGTGGGTGGTGTGTGTGTGTGTGTGTGTGTACAACTTCTGGGAGTCAGTTCTCTCTTTTCACTGTATGAGTCCCAGGAACTGAACTCAGCTCATCAAATTTTGCAGCAGGTGCCACTACCTGCTAGGCCATCTCACCAGCCATTCCTTGTAGCTTTTTGTGGAACTATTCAACCACGATGATGCTGAATGCCTTCATACCAAACCACCCACCACACAAAATCCTGACATCCATCTACCACCCCCTAAAGACAAGATTTCCATTAACATATCATCATTCTCCAGCGCCCCTAGTAACAAGTAACTGGTCTTCCCAATTTTGAAGAAGTAGGCCGACACAGATCTGTTTTTACAGGCAGTGGCTTTTTCCAAGTACTTTTAAGACGTGATGCTCAAGTCACTGATGTAATGCTGTAAAGTAGTACAAGCCATTAGTTTTAAAAGAGGTCTTCCATCTCAGGGCCTGGCTGACTTCCTTGGCTATGTGACATTAAACAACTGAGATAAGAGGATTCCCTGTATGAAGCCTCCATCGTGAGATTGCTGGCTGCTTCTTCCGTGACTGGTGCCCATCCATTGTGACAGACCTTCATTATTAGTGGGGTCCCCTTTCTAGGTCTAAGCTCCTTCTCCAGTTAGCCCGTTCTGACCAATTAATGCAAGAACATGGGTTTAAACGGAGTCTCTGGGAAGCCACTGGGCATGGATTCAGTTGAGGGAAGCAGGTATTTTGTGCGTCTGCTTTTCCTCCTCCTTTAGGCCTGTACCTGGATCAAATAATTGGTACCCTCCATGGCTATCTTGGACCAGATGGAGACAGTGGGGATGGAAGCCAGGTACTAGGATGGCAGCATAAGAAATACACTGTGCAGCTGCCCTGAAATCCTCAGACTTCTTCCCAAAGGTGTATCTCTCAGTTGCTGTCACTGTTTGCTTTTAGGTACACAGAGTCCAGTCGACATTACATGCTAACGAAGGTTACTCCACCCCATACACATCCATCCCACTGCCAGCAAACAGCAGATGACTGAAGAAGGTGACCGAGGCAATAGAACATGTTAATCAGCCACTTTTTACTAAGACTCCATAACAGCTTGCTGTCTACCCCTCTTTCTCTTTTCCACATAGACAGCCATACTCTTTTCTTAACTAGTTCAAACTCAGCTAACATATACTTTCTAGTATTCTGCCCTCATATGACAGTGACCAAAAATCCAACTTTCCATAACCCCTAATAAAGACAAAACCGAAGAAGTCACAATTCCCAAAACGGAAGCGATGAGCAAAGTGGTGGCACACTATTTCTGAAATGACTGCAGTGAGGCTCGTGCTGGCATACACACTCCCAGGCAAACACTCACCCACAAACTATCACTCACATGTAAGATCTACAACCTACACCAACATCGGCACCAACAGAGCGGTTGGTGGCACATTATGTCTTGACAAAGTCCTTCCCTGACCCTCAAAGCTCTCCGCTTTCAAAGACGGAGGGAACCAGAGCCCTGGCTCCAGGGAAAGAGACATGCAGTCTCCTGCCTTAGCCTACAAGCAGCACAACTTGGCAAGGCAACGTCTCCTTCACAAGGGCCTTGTTTTCACAACAGCAATCTTATACAAGGTAAAACTTTGTAGGTGTAGCTTCAGATTATGGTCAAAGTTTAAACTTGATCAAGAAAATTGTAAACTTTTACACTTCCATTATCCTGGCCCAGGTTTCTCAATGGGCCAAATTATATAACATTATTTCACCCTGCCTAGCTCTCTCAGAATAGTAAGGACATAGGGAAAAGTTAAAGAGAACTCAACTTCTACTTCTCATTTTCTACCAACTCATCTGGGTCTTATTCCACCACCCAAATAGCCTCTGGGCTGACATTCAGACACCAAAAGTTTCAACTCAGCTAATGTACTTAAAGAACATAGTTTTGGAGAAGGGATGAGAAAACCATAGAATCACAGCAAAGAGAAAAGGGGAGGTTAAGATTTTCCCTCATGCAACTCAAATCTTTCACACTCACCATTAAAGTATATGTTCATATTCTCACCAAGGAAGTTTTCTATTACTAAAGGCGCAGAGAGTACAGACAGAGGGACAAAAGAAATGCAGGTCATTTTAAAGAAATTGCATCCAGGCAGTGCTGGCGCACGCCTTTAATCCCAGCACTCAGGAGGCAGAGGCAGGCAGATCTCTGAGTTTGAGGCCAGTCTGATCTACAGAGCAAGTTCCAGGACAGCCAGGGCTATAAAGTGAAACTGTGTCTCAAAAAAATAAAAAAATAAATAAAAAGAACAAAAAGGAAACATCCCTTCTTACAACAGCACCCACAGAGAAATAAAAACCATGTTAGGAACAGCTCAGATGAAAATAAAATCTGGCTGTGAGTTCAAGGCCAACCTGGTCCATAGAGCAAGTTCCAAGGCCACACACACACACACACACACACACACACAAGCACACATACATGCAGGAGTCAGGGGAGGGAGAGACAGAGACAGAGAGAGAGACAGAGAGAGAGAGACAGAGACAGAGAGGAAAAAGAAACAAACACTAAGTCTGAAGAACGTTTAGGCTCAAAGCACACAGATTCAGAGAGTAGTCCCAAGATCCCATGTCACCCCTAAAGTTCTAAAATACCCTACTCAAAAGAATCTTAAATGCATACCATTAATCACATGTATCCACTCTGCAGTCGGTTTGGACAAGTGAGAGCACCAGGAAGCATATTCCTAGCTGTTCTGTCAGCCCATGTACAAGACTGAAGTCTCTACCAACTTATCATTTAATTATACCTAACATTGACTTTATAGTCCAGTTTATGGATTCCAAGTATTTAACACCCAGTTACTTCCCAACTCCCTGCAATTACACACTAGTTGTGGAATCCATTAATAGCACCCCTGGGCTAACAGGAGGTCTAAAACACCACCAGTCAGGTTATGCTCTCCAGTTGACACTGCCACCTGTACTGGGTCCCAATTAAACACACACTTCTTCCGATGGCTCCCTCTCCAGGGAGCTGAAATGTGGAGGTAGACATCAGACAGACAGCTTGCCTTCTCTGCTGCTCCAGAAAGGGGATATCCTCTTTTGGGGGATTATATACACATTTCCCACAAGTAGGAAAATAAATCTATTTCTGCATATACCAGTCTTAAACACTGCCTGCTAATTATCAGTTCACAATTACTCCCAGACCCTTCAGATCCTCATCCCCTTCCCTGCATCGACACTCAATGGCAGAACGCTCTGATATAAGGGTCCACCAGGAATCCACATTTACTGAAGCCAAAGTGAGGGGTAGCTGCTCTTCACACCCAGACCAGCCAAGCTCTCCATACTCACTGTTGCTGGACTTAAGGTCTCGGTGAATGATGGGGACGATGGCCTCATCATGTAGGTAGTTCATCCCTCTGGCAATCTGCACAGCCCAGTTCACCAGGATGTCTGGGGGAATCCTCTTCCCAGATAACACTCTGTTCAAAGGCCCTCCACGAGCAAATTCCATGACCAAGCAGAAGTTGGGTTCCTTCAAGCACACCCCTCTGAGGGCAATGATGTTCGGGTGCTTCAGCATGGCAAAGAGCTTGGCTTCTTGGCGAACATTCTCTATGGTCTGGCTGATGTCCTCATCGGGGTCATGGCGAGCTGCTTTCACAGCGACCTCATCGCCTACCCAGAAAGCACGATAAACTTTCCCAAAACCCCCAATGCCGATGATCTCCTCCAGGGTTAGCTCCGCAAAATCAATCTCTAATACTGAGAAAGAAGAAAACAGGAAGTCAGTCATACCCTTTGAACTCTGTGTAACTAACCACACTTCCACTGGATGGGCAAACACAGCCAAGGTAGGAAAGCAGGGCCTCCCTGTCTCCCCACCGTAAACTCCATAAGCAGTGGAGACTGTAGTTAACTTCATGTGCATTATTCTTAGTGACTAGCAAACAGCAGACATCTGATAGGTATTTACTGTAAAGTAAATCCTGCTCAGAGAATCTTGTACCAAGACCACCCCATTTTAACTCAAGGGAATACTAGGGCAACCTTTTTTGAAAATCGCTTAGGTTCATTTGTTCTTGGTGGTGAGAGGTACACAACCCAGGGCTAAGAAGCCACACAGCAGCTATAGTTTGGTTGGTAAACAGCCTCTGTAGAAATAGCATCAGTGGATAAAGAAGGGCACTAATTCCTGCAGTGGAGGGGGGGATGGGCCGTGAGAAAAGAGCCCTAGAGGGAGAGTGAGTAGAGGGGGTCTCATTAGGCAATGAAAGGGATGGGGTAAGGACAATCCAAGCAGAGAGAAGGACATGAGCAGTGCCGTGGCACATGGTACTATAACATCAGGGTACCTGACGCCTGAAGGGCATTAGGGAGTCCACAGCGGCTGGACTGTTGTTCTGGGATAAGAGATTAAGACTCAAGCCTTGTAGAAGGTAACCAGGTGGTAAGAAGCCTTTGAGCAATTTTGAAGGACTTAGAGTTACTCTAGAAGCAACTCAGAAAGGGCGCCAACCCTGACAGGCATGCAGAATAAAATGGGAAAGGAAGTCTGGAGCAAGGAGCCTGTAATTGGAGCTCTTAATTGGACTAGAGAGCCACTAAGAGACCAGGATGCAGCTCAGTCGGTAGAGCCTGGCATGCATGAAGCTCAGGGTTTAATCCACGGCACTGCATAAAACGGTGTGGTGGTGCATGCCAATAATCCTACACTATGGAGATGGAGAGAATCGCAAGTTCAAGGTCAACCTAAGCTCTGTAGCAAGTTTGAGGTTAGCCTGGTCTAAAAGGAGACCCTGTCTCAAAAGGAAGAGCCATGAAGGAGGCCCTTGCAGTGATCTCAGCTTACTGAGCCTCAGAGTATGCAATACGGAAAGACCTGAGTCAATGTGAAAGACTTCCAGGACTTGGTTCTACCAGGATCTGGTTGGTTGCTGAGAAGTACAGGAAAGGAGGGAGCCTCATGTGAAACATCTGACTCCTGCGGATCTCGGTGCCTCGAGTCACCTCAACCATTCATTCTGCTCCCAAGATATAGAATCTGAGCCTTCAGTGCTGTTCAGAAAAGATAGACAACAGTGACTCCCAGTGATTATAAATCCCAGGTGAGCTGGAATGTTAAGAACTAACTGAGCAGGGCACCGGTTCACATGTCTCTCCTAAAAGCATGTTCTCTTCTCTCTTTTGACTGAATCAAACTCATCCTTTATATCTGAACTTAAACGCCCATTTCATTGACAAATTCCTAACCTCAAGACCAAATGAGGGTAAGCTGCCATCAAACAACTTTGCAGTAAATTCCATTTACAAGATTCATCAAGATTGTCACTATTTAATTACTCACTCACTGCCTATCACCTGTGACACTATGACAGCCACAGGGCAGCGATTCTATCTGCCACGACTGTGCTCATCGTGACAAATATTTAGTAGGTGACCAATAAAAGGAATTTACTTAAGTAGAGCATAAACAAATTTATATCTGTTTAAAAGGAGTGGGAAAGTGATGAACAGGGTTTCTGGAAGAGAGAATACCCACACTCCACCAAAAACAAAAAACAAAACCTAGGAAAACGAAGATGTATTTCTAGATTTTGGCAAGAGCAAACTGGACAGCTGTTCTTCCTTACATGGCCAGCCTCATCACACCCCACTATTTGGATGTCTGATGGGGCTCACATTTTTGCTCTTACTTAACCATAATACCTTTAATCTTCTTTTCTTGTATTTTGAGAAGCAACTGCCAATCTGCACAAAGAAAACTCAGGAAAAGTCATGTGGACTATCTTTAAAGTACACAAGATGCAGACTCTATCTCAACCCTCAAAGTTACATAAGACTAACTAACCCCTTGGAGATGCAGTCTAGCTTACTGACAAAGTACATACTTAGTATTTGCACAGTCCTGTGTTTAATCCCTGATACCAGGAAATACAGAAAAGAGGGGAAAGCTATTGTGGGGTATGTGGAGTGGTCCCCCTGAAAAACAAATAATGTGGCAGAAGCTGCAGACTAGCAATCAGCACCCATCCCAATATCCTTCTGGAATCTCATCTTTTAATATCAGAGGCTAGAGAGCTAAGAAACTACAAATCCCAGGATTCCTTATGGCAAAGGCACTGGGATGTGAATTAAGTGACATTCAAGATTTGCAAAGCAGAGAGAGATGAAGACCATCTTCTGGCTGCCTCTCCTGGCAAGAATGGCTGACTGCAGCAACATGCCAGTGTCCAGTCACTAGCTCTGTAGCTGTGTAATGAATGCTCCATAGTGAAGTGGCTGCCTGTTCTCCAGGCTGCAGACACAAGAAGATATCCCTGAAGCTGCCATCTCCAGCAGCAGCTCCAGATGCTGACCCTCGTCTGTGAGAACAGTGCCAACTTGCTTGCTGGTTCAGCTCTGCAGTGCCCAGAGCTCTCCCCATAAGAGCCTCTTCTCCAAGCCCTCCCAACAATTCTGTGAGCACCCAATTTCCTGTGCTGAATCCATTTCTTGCTTAAAATAGCTGCAATGTTTCTGAGTCCTAAAAATGAATCCTAATTACTAACTTTTGCCTGATGTCATCCACATGAATGAGAAAACATGCAGACATTAAAGAGAAATTAGAAACCCCTTTGAAAGATACATGTCTACTTGGTCTTTGGAGGCAAGGAATGTTCTTTTTATTTTTCTACCAGCCCTTATACTGATGTAAAGCCCTGTGCCTCCTGAACGAATTTTTTGATCATCTTATTTCTTCAACTAAATCGTTGAATTAATTAATTAACTATACTACTTCTCTAATGCTCATCCTCTGTTTCTTGGCTCTGAAGCTTAGTTGTCAACACACAGTAGGTGTTCATTGTTTGCCCGAGGCTGTAAAAGATGGGACACCAGTCTAGGGTGCTGAAAAGGACAGCTCCTGCAGCAGCCGCGCAGACAAAGGCTTGAAGCCGAAGGGAAAGCAGTGACCTCTCTCTAGGTAGAAGAAGCCAATATCTCAGCTTTTCCCTACTAAGTTAAGAAACATATGGAAGCTAGCCTACAAGAGAAGTATAAAAGATCACTTTTCAACGGACGAAGAGAACCTGGAGCAGAAGCAGGGACTTTCTTTTTCTTTCCCTACTCAGAAGTCCCTTCGAAGGACTTCCAGGGACTAGACCTTCAGCTGCAGAAAGCATGCAGGCTCTCCTTTCCGTCTCTGCTCCAGTCAAGACCTGGTTTTAAGCAAGAATCAGGTCAACTTGCATTCAGCACATTTTTTTTTAATTTTCTGTGGGAGGCTATTTCTAGGAATATCAACAAAACCTTATTTCATGTTGGAGTCAAGATGCTATTTCCTCTAGATTGTATCGGTGGAGACTGAACCAGCCCATCTTGTGGGACTGGGGGCAAGGGAATGGTGTACTTTGTTCATTTTGACGTCTTCTATACAGAGCCAAGTGTGTGAAACACAGCTGTAATCCCAGCACTGGGGAAGTAGACAGATGCAGGAGGATTGTAAGTTCAAGGACAGCTTGGACTACATAGTGAGATCCTGTTTCAAAAAGAAAGGCAAATAAATAAATGACTAAATAACCCTATGCTAGGGCAGGGGACAGAGATGTGGGAATTGCTAGAACTTCTGGCCTCCATCTAGTTAAAAATGCTTCAGTTTCAGTGAGAGCCCATCTTAAGGTAATAAGGCAGAGATCTTTAGAGGACACCCAGCATCCTCCATTCATGGGTACACCTGTGTACGGGTACATGCATCTGCATAAACACATGTATGTCACACACACACATACATTTTCTAGACATTTAAACATATCTAAAAATAAATCCTTACATTTGTAGTGAATTCAGGAGAAACAAATGTAACTTAGCAGTGACTTTAACTCTGTGTTGCAGAGTAACACTAGTGTAGAAGAAACATTTTAATGACTATGTATCTCCCAGGGCACCAAACTGGAGCTTTACATTTTTCACCTTTTACAAAACAGAGGATGAGAGATCGCTCAGGTTATATAGATATGCCATCCATGGAGAGCCAACCCCTGATACCTACAGCGGTGGGATAAAAGCAGGATATAAAATGGCTTATACTATCACTAGCATGTTTTCCTCTGATAAAAGATTAATTTCTCCTTCTGTATTGAATAAAGCTTGAAGCAAAATTTTCACTGGAAAATAACACTGTATAACTAAACCTGACTCTCACTGCTTGACTAGACATAGGTATTCCATTCGCAATCCTGAACATATCACATGCTGTAAGCCCCAGGGGGGACGTTTAAAAGGGTAGCCCTGGGGAAGAGTTGTCTGTGGCTTTACTATTCCAAGTCCTGGGGGACAAGGTTTTGTCAATCATCTTTATTTTCTGAGTAACACTAACTCAACTGGCAGACAGAGCTCCCAGATGAGATATTCCTATCTCTTCAAAGCACTGGCCGAAATTTCATGTTTACTTCACCAGTTTCCCTGGCCTGCTCAGAAGTACCTCCTGCCACCCTTTCATCCCTTAGTTCTTAACATAGTAGCCACCACTCACCAAGTACTCAAGAATGCAGCTTGACTTGGAGTTTTGTGAACTACAGGAATAATGCCAGTCCCAAGTAAGGCCAAGTTAGAGCACTTACCAGAACTTTCAATGCCAAGCTCCTCAAGTGAATTCTTTCCCCAAGCACAAGATCCTCCCATCTGGGTTCCAGACCTAGGAAACCACTCTATCCAAGGTACTGTCTATTCCAATAAGGTGAGTCCTGGCCACATTATAGGGAATTGTCTCTGAATGCACCCGCTGTTGACATGTCTGGCACTCAGCCGAAAGGTTCTTTTAACCTAAGTCATGTTCGCTCCTGACTGCTGTGACCTCATTCAACATATGGCCAAGTTCATCTCCAACATTAATTCCAAACACCATGCCAGGACCTTTGATTGGCCTTTGTCTGACCAGTATTGTCAAATATGCCAAAAATATGTAGCACCCAGAAACAATCTAAAGTGACTTGTTTATACATACCAAAATGTATAAACGAGAAACTTTGAATGAAAGGGGACAAATCTAAGTAGAACTAGAGATCTGAACAATTTGACAGTCAAGGGCTGAAAGGAAGAAAAAAAAAAGAAGTTGTAACTGTATTTTAAACTCATATTAAAGTAATGTAATTGTTCATGTAAAAATAAATAACAGTCAAAAAGGTAACTATTAAAGATGAAAATGTAAAACTAAGTATCAAAGTTAGCCCTTTGTAGTGACTTAAAAAATATAGTAGGATGCAAAGTATATAAAACAACTAACTAACTACTAAGTATATAGTAAGAATGTCTTCTAACTGGAATTATGGAAACTTAAATACTATAAACTGCACTTGGAGATATTCACATCTTCTAAAATAACCAAGTAGATACAAATGATTAAGAAGTTATAATAGCAATTTAACTCCTTTGAAAAATAGCAAAGGAAATTTCACTAGGGGCATGGAATAGGGGGTTCCTGGGAAACTGATGAAAACCAGGACACAGGGAGAGAGGCCCTGGGAGGGAACCCCGGGCCTGCCCGCCCCCCACCCCCCGAGATTTGGCCAACGCTAAGTACAGGCAAGGCTCTAGGGAGAAAAATATGTGTTGTCTGCAAGGTTTGGCTGTAAGGGGCAGGGACTTAGCCACTGTACCTGGTGATCCTAAACTCCCACGAGGGAGAGACATACTTTCTCCCTCTATTTCTCCACTCATGACTTTGTGCCCTGGCCCACACATACACACCTTTTCTAACATATTATTTGGTGAGACTCCTCAAGGTACAACTTTGAGATACAGTACGAGAACCCAAGAAATCAACACGAGATTTCAAAGGCACCCGACTCTTGAGTTCGTTCACACATGCTTCCGGGACTTGTGAGCCTGCCCAGGCAGGCGAGAGACACCTCCACTTCTCTCAGGACAAATACCTTTAAGAGGCGGGGACAAGCGACAGAAGAGGTCCGCCAGGTCCTTGGTTGGGGGACTAAGGTTACTGGTGACAGTAACCACCTGCTCTCTAGAAACCATTCCAGATCTGAAGGGGCACAAGGAGGGACGGGAGGGGAGACTCACGCTGGGGCTTCAGGAGTTGTTGAGCGAGTCAGGTGAAGGTAAAGAAGCCCAGTGACCAAGGCAGGGCCTGCGGCTCTGGAGCTTCTCGGTGGCACCAGCTAAAGCCCGCACACCCACCCACACCCCGGCCAATCGCTCCCCACCCCTGACCTCTCCTCGCCCACCCCAGGCCTCAGCCTCCCCTCCCCACAGGGCTTCGGTGCCGCCTTCTCCTTACGCTGAATGGGCGGGTAGCAACTGGGGTCCTCGGCGCCGGGCTGGCAGCGGCTGGAGAAGGCGCTGCGCGGGGTCACGTAGTTGCTGGGGAAGATGCCCACCCGCTGGTTCAGCTGTCCGGTCCACCAGCCCTCGTCGCCGGATACCTGCGAGTCCTTGGACAGCACCTCTACCACATCGCCTAGCCGCAGGGTCAGCTCGTCCTCGCCCGCCGCCTCGTACTCGAATACAGCCGTCCAGTAAGGCAGCGCGGCGTGGGAGCCCAGCTCTGTGGCCACCGCCTCCTCCTCGTCCTCCTCCTCCTCGGCCCCTGTGCCCGTGGCATCCTCCCCCGGCGGGGCGGCAGCGGCGCTCGCCAAGCAGCCGAGAAACGATCTGGAGGACTCCATGGAGCGGCCGGTCCATAGGGTGCGGGGCGGCCGCCCGCAGGAGCCGCCGCCGCCTATTGTTCATGCGGCTCGGCAGCGCTGGGGGCTCCGCGCCCCCGACGGCCGCCGCAGGTAGGACCCGGGCTGGCGGGGCGCGCGATGGCCGCGGACGCTCGGTGCGCACTGCGAGCGCGCACCGCGGACAGGGGGAGCGGCGCAGTGCCCGCCGCCTGGCGCCCTCGCGGGCGGCCTCGCCCCTCCGCGGCTCCCACCTGCTCGCGCCGCCCGTGCCCGCCGCCCGCTGGCCGCTCCCTCCCCTCCCCGCCCCGCCCCGCCCCGCCCCGCGCGCCCCGCCTCCCCGCACGCCCGGGACCACCTGACGCGAGCCTGGCTCCGCCCCAGCCCTGCGGACCCGGGGGTGGGGCCTGTGGGCCAGTCCCGCCCCCCCTCCCAGTGTGTCCTCCCATTGGCCCGCCGCTGCTGTCCGTTTCCTGGGAGAGGCTGAGGTCTCATTGGGTGGCTCCCGAAGGTAAGGTTGAACGTGCTTTTGGACAGTGGGAGCCGGCGGCGGAGCCTGCTGTCTTTGTCTGCGTGGCTTGGGGCTACGGGCTGCACCAGTTCCAGGTTCAGATGGCCAAACTCTTAAATCTGCTTCTGCCCCGATCTTCCCTGGGGACCCGCTTCCGTTCCCTCCCGCCTCCACGCACACACTCTCACTGCGGAACCTTATGGCTCGCGATGGAAGAACTCTTCGGATTGCACTACTGGCCTTGATGAAGGTAGCACACATCTCTCTGAGAAGAAGTTCCAGGCCTTAGTTGTCATAATTCCGAAAGGGAGGTCACCTAGCAGGGCTTCCGCAGGCTGAGGAAGTCGTGCGCTTGCCTTGTGGAGCTGGCTGTACCGAGGACCCTGGTGACGGCTACATAGATCACACCAAGGACTAAAGCAGAGTAAAGACTGGTACCGCCACTCTTGGGCAAGGGCTAGCTTATGCTATGTCCTTTTGTTACAACCTCCCCTCCCCCAAAATTAAGAAAGAACAAGATAAGTGAACCTTAACCCATCCTATGTGCTTTCAAGCTTCCATATTTCAAAACAAACCAGTACTGAGGAATTCAGCCTGATAGCTACCAAACTGTAGCTTTCCAAAGGCAGGAATAGAGGTGATTTATTTAACAACAGTTATTCTTCACTGATTGTATTTTTGAAACAAGGTCTCACTGTGTAGCCCAGGCTGGCCTCACACTCAAAATCTTGCTGCCTCAGCTGCCTGAGTACCGGGATTACAGGCATGTGCCACCATGCCCAGCCAGACTATTATTTTGTTTAATTTTAGTTTGAGGTTTATTATTAGGCAAACTGGAGCAATTTGGAAAAATAGCCAGGCAGCTACATGACCTTGGGCATTCGTTTGAACACTTATTGCTGGATGCTCACCCCTGAAGTGAGGAGCGGAGGGAAAGGTCTCCTGGGTTCTAGGTTGGACATCAGGTGGTTTGCAGGTGATTGTGACTATGGGCATTTAAGGTCTTAGGAAAGAGATGAGCTGGTGCCGTTCAAATGAGCATCCAGAAAGTCCCAGGGATGGAGTCCCGGAAGTGAATTCCCCAACATGTTCAAGTTTGTTAGATAGGGGTGCACAATAAACTGGAAGTCTGGGCAGGTTCTCTGATATTAAGATGAAACCGTTCCACCTGTAAGAGAAAGGAAGATGGAAAAATAATTAGTGTTTTAACAGATACTTAATAGAATTTTCATATGGGTGAAAAGGGCTTTTAGAAAGCAGATCAGGGAACATAAGTTCCATACTAGAGAGGCTAAAGAGATGGCTTGGTGGTTAAGACCATTGCTGCTCCTTCGCAGGACCCAGGTTCCGTTGCCATCACTCACAAGGCAGCTCCTGAATACCTGTAACTACAGCTTCAGGGGAGCTAACACTCTACTGGTGATGAGCACCAGGAAGGTACATGGTGCACACACATAGAAATTTTGGTTTGGTTTTTCAAGACAGGATTTCCTTCTGTAACAGCTTTAGCTGTCCTGGAACTCACTCTGTAGCCTGGCCTCAAACTCACGGAGATCCCACTGTCTCTGCCTCCTGAGTGCTGGGATTAAAGGCATATATCACCATTGCTGACTTTTTTACAGAATATTTTTAAAAAGAACGAAACACTAGAAAGAACAATATTAGCTGTGGGTCTCCAAGTAGTAGGGTTATGAGTAAGTGGGACTTTTAATTGTCATTTTGTTCTTGTACTTAAGCATGCCCTTACAAGCACCTCTTTCCCGTGAAGCACAGGAGAACGATCCTCGCTCCCTAAGAATAAGAAAACTAACTTCCTACACAATTTAATATTTAATGTCACAGCGTGGACTTAGGATCTCATGAAGAGTCACTCACCAAACATTCAAACAAATCACCCTATAAATATTTGTTGAATGGATAAGTGCTAAGAATTCAAATCAGGGAAGATTCTTCAGACCAGGGTTGCCTGGCAGAGCTCAGTGGTAGAAGCAGAAACAGAACTTGTCCCGGAGAGGTCCAGGGCGGAGCAGGAAAGAGTCAAGGGACAGAGAGAGGTGGGAAATTGTGGGACAGTGAGCCCATGTTGATGGCATGAAAGGATAAGAAAGAATGCTAGAAACCTATTGAGACAGGATTGCAGAGAGCTTTGTAATTGTTTGATTCACATTAATAATTATTTAATTGATCATTTGAAATTATTTAATGACGAAAGTGTTTGCCATAAGGACAGGAACCGGTCCAACCTGTTCCTTACAGTTTTCCTGGCATCTCAGAGTGCCTGGCTCATAGCTAGTCACCTTTCTGGACACAGTCACACCTGATGGCTGACTTGGCTACAAGCCTAGGAAGTCTGGGTTTTGTTTAGCAGCCCAAGGTTATCACAGGGCCAAGGAAATGGTTCGGTGGGTAGGAATGTGTGCTCCACAAACACAGGGCCCAAGTTCAGACCCTGAGCACCTATGTAAAAAGTGAGATGTGGCTGTGTGTGCCTGTACCCTTCGTGTTGGAGGCCAGACAGGCAACTGGCAGAGCTCACGGGCTGGCCAGCCTTGCTGAAGCACTAGGAGGTTTTGAACAGGTCTTTGGAATAAAATGACAGATTTTTGGCATCTTTAGGTTCCTCAGCCTGGGGCTGATGAATGTCACCCCAGAAAAGCAACATTTTTTCCACCACACTGGAAAGAACAGAATCAAACAGGAAGAAGACAAGTGTCATAGTCAGCATTAAACAGGTCAGACTGTGGGATAGCCTGAAAACATTTGACTTTGTACAAGACAAGATTTTATTGTCTTGTTTTTAATTATTATTTTTATTAATTATATATTAATTATACATAATGTGTTTCATTATGACACTTCATACTTGTGCATATTTTTATCATCAACCCCCATTACTCTCTCTTGTTCCCTTCCCACTCCTAGCTAGTCCCCTCTCCATTCATGTTTGTGAGTGTGTGTGAGTGTGTGTGAGTGTGTGTGAGTGTGTGTGTCTCACTGAGCCTATTAGAATTGCTTACACGCCTTTAATCCCAGCACTCGGGAGGCAGAGGCAGATGGATCTCTGTGAGTTTGAGGCCAGCCTGGTCTACAGAGCTAGTTCCAGGACAGCCTCCAAAAAAAAAAAAAAAAAGAATTGCTTACAGGATCATGGCCACCTTTCCCCTGGCTACCTCACTGACGAAAATGGCCAGACAAGTTTCTGATGCTGTTTCCTCATTTGTAGAGTAACAGAACATGCTTTTTTTGGATGTTATTGGGTTAAACACGACATGATGCCCAAAGCTTGCTATTTAGCATCCGGTGGCCCTATTTCCTTTTCTCAGTTCCCACCCTCAGAAGCACCTTAGCAGTACCTTAGAATGTAATGAGTCAAGAAAAAAAAAAAAAAAAAAGAATGGAAGCTAACCTCGGGTCGTTCTCAAAAAAATATTAAAATTAAAAATAAGCAGGACAGGAAAAAGGAAAGAGATGAAGAGAAAGAGGGAAGGGGGGATGAGAGAGGTTGATAAGTGAATGAGGCTTTGAATTTGAATTCTGATTGATATTTATAGGCAAGTTAAACCCTGTAGCCCAGATCCCGCATGTGAAAATCAAGGATAATAACGTGATACCTCTGGTCTCCCAGACTGATTAAGGGACATGATGTATGATTTATACTTAGTACAGGATCTAGCACCTAATTATCGCTATTTATCCTAAAATTCAACTTAGCAAGTGAATTCCACTCTCCCTTTAGCTCTTTTAGGGAACATCTTATTTTAATTTATATTGGCATATATTCATTGTACATACATAGACTTCTGTAACATTACCTTTAACTACATTCATCACCCACCCTCTCTTCTCCTCACTCTCCCCTCCCTTCACCCTTTCCTAATCACCCTCTGCCTTCCTGTCGTGTGTGTGTGTGTGTGTGTGTGTGTGTGTGTGTGTGTGTGTGTGTGTGTGAGGTCAGAGGACAATTTTGTGAAACCTGTTCTCTCCTTCCACGTTTGTGTGGGTCCCAGGAACCAAAACTCTGGTCATTAGATTTGCATGGCAAATGCCTTTGTCTACTGAGCCGTCTCACCAGCCCTGAAAAAGACCTGATTTGGTTTGTGGTTAGACTGAACTCTGATGTGTGCATATCCTACACTTTGTTTATCCGGTCCCCTGTTGATGGACTTCCAGCTGGTTTGTGATTGGCTACGGCAAATATGCTGCAGCAAACAGGATGTGCAAGCTGCCTGGGTTGTGCGGTAGCTCTGCTCTCAGTTTTGTGAGGAAACTGCCTGCTGGTTTCCACAGGGTCTGCGCTAACTTCCCACCAGTGCTGGGAGAAAGTTTTAAGTGAGTGCTTTGGTGCTTAAATCTCTCAAGCAGACACTGACCTTTTCTAACACAGTCGACAATGTGTCCCTCACTCCCCACATGTCGCCACCTCAGGGAAGGACTCCTAGCTCTGAATTCAGAAACGCTGCGTGTATGGGTCTTGACTTGAAGCGCATGTGTGGGGCAGGATGGTGGAACAGAAGTTTGGGACGCAGGGACACCTGCTCAGGTTCCTGGCTGGGGAGAAGAGTCCAGTGAGGCACGTTCCCACTTTCCTCACTATTCACAAGAGGCAGGTATATAAAAATGGG